GCAGAGGCATCTCCTAAATACGTGTTCTTAAGCAAAATTGTGTAGCTTTTATAGTTTTCGAGATTTTCGGTTTTTTGGTTTTTCGGGTTTTGTTGGCGTTCGAGTGGGCGTGGCGTGATTGGAAAAAAACAATTCGCATTGGGAGCATTATAGAAACAGACATGCTTGATCCGAACTTTCTATCTCTTATAGTTACCGAGATATCAGCTTTTCTAGAAAATCCGAAAACCGTCTTTTGAGCCTTGTGGGCGTATGGGTGGGTGTGGCCGGATAGTAGTACCACTATAAGACGCGCTGCCATCTAAAGATTATACTTTTTGAATTTCAACTTTCTAACTGCAATAGTTCCTGAGATTTCAGCAATTTTAGTTTTTTGCGATTTGTGGGCGTTAGAGTGGGCGTGGCAGGATGCTGTAATAAACTTGCGCTGTCCCGGGACCTCAAGAATCTTCATGCTTAATCTCAACGTTGAATCTGCTATAGTTCCTGAGATCTCAGCGTTCATACGGACGGACGGACGGACGGACAGACGGACATGGCTCAATCGACTTCGCTATTGATCCTGATCAAGAATATATATACTTTATAGGGTCGCAAAAGCTTCCTTCTATCTGTTACATACTTTTCAACGAATCTAGTATACCCTTTTACTCTACGAGTAACGGGTATAATAATCCACCGGTGTCAATTGAAAATTAAGCCCAGCTAAGTGAAATGTCGAACAGAAATAGAGCAAATTGCTTGGCGAAACGTTTTTGGTAAATTAAGGCCAACAATCCGGTGATAATAAAATCGACAACATTCGAGGACCAGCAAGGACGCGAGTGGGCCAAAAAGGAAATTGAGTTGCATTCCAAATGCATTTGTCGCATTCGCAGATGTCGTAGTTCACCTGCAGCTTAGAAACGGTGTAACTGAAAGTTTATGGATTTTCCAGCGATTTATGACAGCTTAAAAGGGAAAAGTGGGAAAAACACACATGGATAACAGTTGGTTGGAATCGATATTTATCCGTTTCCTTTTACAAATTGAAGTAGTAGTTGGAAATAAAGATTTTTACAATTCAACTAGCTGGGCCATTATCACAAAATGTTAGCAGTTTTTCACATTGCGTGAAGTTCATAAAAAATTCACTTTAAAGAAAAAGTTTTCTTGTTACTCATAAATAAGCTAAAAATAAACTTATCTGCATTTTCTTATTTTTTGTGTACTTAAAAGATTTGTATGCATTTATTCAATGACTCCAAGAGCTCGTTAACTCTATTTTTCTGGTCGTTCCAAGTTGATCGTTCACCTTAAATATGGTTGAACTTTATCGCCTCGCTCGACATTTATGACCAAATGCAAAGGCTCGCCGACGGGCCAAGAGCTAACCAAGTCAACAAAAAATCTAGGGCAGAAAAGTTACTGGAGTTGTAGGATGCACCACAATTTACACAGAAAAAAATGTTAAACTTCATATTATAAGAGCAATACATAATTTAAAACTCCCCCACATCGTCTTCTTTACTTAAACACTAATGCAGTTTCGATCCTTTTAAAATTCTATTAAAATAAAGAATATCTGCGATCTTAAAGTCTATAAAAAACGAACTTTTTCTCTGCATAATGCAGGCGCAGGCCACCAAGTGAAAAGGCAAAGTGTTGTGCATAAAAATGTTGTTCTTCCTGCTGTAAGTTTGCGCCGCACTGTTTATCCGGAGAAGTGAAGGTAGACGGAGGACGATGTGGCATCCGGATGCTGTCCGCTTTGCATATTAAAAACGCTGCTGGCGCACTTTTGCGGCTGGACGGAAGGGGTTTCGGGGGTGTTGCTCCGATAATCCCCCAGTTATTCTATGTAAATTGGGTTTTCTTTGTCGATGCAACAATGAGCCGTAGGATCCTGAACCTGGTCCAAGGGCGTGACCCATTGGGCGGGCGTTAAGGCTGCAAGTCGGTGGCGTAGATAAAACACCAGCTGAATCCAATCAGCCAGGACTTGAGCCAAGCCGCAGGCAATCAAGTGGCAAACTGCTTCGTGGGGGTTCATTAAATCGTTAATGTGGTTGAGGTTTTTTCGCCTAGAGTTCCGTAGAGGAAACCCATCCAGACCAATTGAGCTAGCAGAAATTGAACTTTGAAAAGCCATGAAATTAAATAAATAAACGGGTGAGTAAAACATATGGTGGAACTTTAAGTGCTCTTTTTATAGACCTAACACCGTAAATTATGGGCAACCTATGGTCAAAACTAAATCATTTTAAAGATTTTGTTAACACTAGACCTAACCTACACATTATGTATTTTCTTGCCTAAAATCACCTGACAAGAAAGACCAAGTCACTCTGTAAGAGGTATGTAGATGAAACCTTATCCACCCTCTTTCACTTTTAATGATTTGCTTATCCTAACTGAAAATCTTTCTGTTAGCGTATCAGAAAATTACAATGGAACTTAGCGATTTCCAGATAACAAACCACAGACATATGCACGCCCTTAGATGTTGCTGATCGATATCCTTTGGGGGCCTTGCTCATGCGAAGGATAATTGAATTTGAAGTGAAGCTGCTCCTCGTGGCAGTTATGAAATTTCTGGTTCGACTTCCGTTGCCTCCGAACGGAAACAAAAGCGAGGCAAAATGAAGTTACAAGTTCCAAGCGAGTGTGAGAGTGCGTCTGCGGCGATTGATGGATATGGTACGAGTCTGGTGGCGGAGCAAAGGTTCAGGATGTGAGGAGGGGAGACACCGAAGCACACATCAGTGCTGACTGCCAGAAGAGTGTTTTATAAATCGAAAAGAAAAATATTTAATAATGTCTAATAAAAAGTTTGTCTTGTAAGCTATGGTTTTACTGGTATCAACTTTTCGATACCTATGTACTAAATGACTTTAATTCAAGATGAAAAACGACAAGAGCTAGAAAGAACTTAAAGTTGTAAGACAAAACGACAGCACTGATACACATGTTTCCCCGTCTTGCAACCTCGGCAATGAATTTGCGTTTCCGCCTCGGTGCTTTCGCCATCATGGTTAGCCGCATCGTTGATTTAAGGGCGTTCCTTGCGTGGTGCTGCTGTACGCATCCTTCGTCCCTTTTGGCGGGAGCGATACAATTAAAAATATGCAGCCCAATTCATTTGATTGGCACGAAGGAAGAGTCGAGATAAGCATCTTCCGTTGGCTGCAATTGTGACATCTTCATTAATCAATAATGTATATATTTTGATGGGCCTGTGGTTAAAGGAAATGGGAAACAGCAGAGAAAATGTTTTCAAAGGTATTATATATGGCATCCGAAAGCAACTTAATTTAATATACATATATTATCAGTTGAATATATTGCTTTTCCAATAATTAATAACAATATCTTTAAAAATAAAACAACAATTGCGTTAAACATTTTGTTAGCTTATATACTTTTTATAAATAAATAAACAAATAGAACAAATAGAGAAATAATTTAGTGCTTTTAAAAATTAAATATTTTTATACCAATTTAAATAATAAATTTAATTTTTGGCGCCAACAGCGCTGCATGAAAATCTTATCGATGAGACAAAAATTTTCGATAAGGTAACTCGATTCTATAGCTAATTTGACAACTCTGGCAACATCACTAATATCGAATAAACAATGATTTTTGTTCCATCTCTAGTGGAACTTGCATAAAAATAAGAACTATTGAACAATTGCATTTAAAATGGATTATGTGCACTCTGTTTGGAGCTATTTTGCCTCGATCTGCAACTGCTGGCAATGCACCGAGGACACAGGTGCACAGGTAACACATATATCTGTCTATCTAATGAGCAGGCACTATAGTATTGCGTGTTTTTATTGCAGCCCAATGAGCCGAATGAGAGGACACACCTTCTGGTGGATCCCGTGAACCATAGTCCTGCCCTTCGGAGGAGCAATTCCGATGGCCTCAGCAACGACTACGCCCACTCTCTTCCCAAGAAGGACGATCAAAACGCCCTATCCAGATTAGTGCAGAATACTGCGATGTACGTAGCCCCAATGGGTGTGTTTTGATAGGATTGACTTGCATACATGTATATGTATGCGATTACATCTGTTGCAACACTATCATATATATGAGTGCTTGTGTTACCTTTGTTATAATACACTATAAACAGTAGGTTGGAGTATCACAATCCTCTGAGGAGTAATAGCAACTGATACAATCTTAAGAGTAGGCCTTAGATATTTAAAGATTTGAAATTATAGGCAGACTCCAAATTGTAGGAAAAGATCTAGAATTCATCTATGCTGATAGTTGCAGTTATAAGTAAAGATAAGTAAATCATTTGGAAGTATTCAACATATTACAACGCAGATTACAGATTATCGGCACTCTATAGGATTCCCAGTTGATAACAAATCATTATATACACATACACACTCTTCTGCATTCCAGAAACATGATAAACGTTGGAGCCATGGACTGCCACAGCTTGGAGCACCAGGAGTATGCCGATAGAATAAGATTGTACTCGCAGCGGTTGCATCAGCAGTGGAGCAACGTCCAGCACCCCAGTATCTCACTGAAAGGTTGGTTTATATGATTTCTGATTATTTAATTAGTAACTAATAAATTGTCAAACTGCAGGTCTTCTAAAAGATGTACCAAGTCATCAATTCTATTTGTCCAAGCCCATTTCGCCTGAAGACACTGCTCAAGTGAGTTAAATATTTTTTATAAATACACAATTTAACCCGTCTTGAATTGCATTTCCAGATGAAACTATTTACCGAAAAAGCGCACATTAGTGTCTCGCACATACAAATCGATCACAAAGAAGCAGTGGTTGTGCCCTTCCGGATTCCCTGATTACCTTTATCATAAGTGAAATAAAGTGATAAATTTATATAAAATCAAAATCTATATTGGTACTAAGTAACCCTTGAATAATCAGGTAATCGACTTATTTTTATTTAGTGTACAGAAACAAATAAATAGAAACTATATTCTTAAATCGCTAGACTTTTCTTTTTTGCAAGGTACACAAAAATTTAAATTTCAATATGTCTTTCGACTTAAATCATAAATTTTGGGTCTCAACGCGAAAAGAAATCGGACAACTTATTAAGAAACAGAACCGCTTAAAGAAAATCGAACCTCCCCAGGAAAAAGCCATATCATTTAAAATTTTTGCAGAACTCTATGTACTATATGTGGAGCTGCTCGATAAGTTAAGTTTCATTTACCACAATACTTTTCAAGTACAAAAGCGGGAGATAATCCGCATTTTAGTAGAAAGCGCTACTCAACAGCTAATGCAACTCAAAGAGGAGTTGAAAAGTTTGGAATTGAGTGAATATGTATATATAGACAAAGCTTTGATCGCCAGGAAGATGACTCCTCAAAACTTGGTCATATGGAGATCACCACAGTTTCTATACCGCCGCCCATTGGAAATTCAAAATATATTGGCCGACAACCGGTTGTATATGAATGATGAGGAAAAAGAGGAGAAGGCGGCACAAGATTGGGTTCCGATCAGTGATGCCGTGAAGCTTATTCAAGCTCATGAGAGGGCACGGCGAGCTCGTGTTTATAAGTCCAACATTAAGTACGACAAGAAGAAATTCCTTAAAGTCCATCAAAGGAAGAAAATCAATTACAAATTCACCTTTAAACCTGATCAAGCCATGAGTATTCCCGTCAAGAGAACCATATTTTCCGCTGATTTCTTGAAACCCAACGAGTCGTGTGAAAACTTAAAGAACAGGGATGATGTAGCGGAAGTAATGGATGGTAGTAAGTATTTAAAATTACTAAAAGATTTTAATAGCACATTATTTTGAAAATCTTTAGTTGACGAAGAGGAACTACAGTTAAAGCGGCATAATGCTGCTTCTAAGATCCAAAGCTGGTGGCGAGGTTACAAGACAAGGAAAATAGTTAAGATCAAGAAGAGGTTTAAAGAAGAACTGTATGGTATGAAGAAGATAAGAAAACTGAGGCGACCAAACGAGAAAGCTAATGCCATCATGGATATGTACAAACATGAGATGCTAAAAAGAAAGCTGGATGAGGATTTCATTAATTTGATCAATGACGAACGCACTAGACTTCTGCAAGTCCGAAGTCCGTGGATGATGGAGGATATATCCGACCATATCCGGGATTGGTTCAGGGAATTGTAAGTTAATTGTTATAGAGGAGATATCACAGGTGTAACATATACTTTGCAGCTACGAAAAAACTGAAAACTTCCATCCTTATCCTGATCCTGTAAAAAAGGGCACAGTCTTGGTTGTCATTGACGAAACAATGACCCCAATGGAATTTCAGCAAACCTTAGGTAAAAAACCCTTGTCGAAGGCAGAGAAAAAGAAAATTCGTGATAAAGAAAAGAAAGACAAGAAAAAGAAGAAGGAGAAACTTAAAATGGTACTAATGAAGGAGGCGAAACGCAGAAAAAAATTAAGAGATGCTGGAATTATCGACATTGGCTTTGAGTTGAGTTCCAGCAAGGCCATAGGTAAGTTATTATATTTTATATAATATAGTTTGTAATCAGTTTAATGTTCTTTACTTTTTAGTAAAAATTGAGGAAACAATGAAGAGATATTCAAAGGACTGGAGAAATATTGATGAATATCTTAACAAAAATCATGACCCCATCAAAGATTGGGTCACTGAGGAGGAGTTGGCAAAGATTCATCAGGAACTTAGAGGCTTGGTCGACGAATACATGAGGTAAAACTAATTTATATCTTAAATTTCAATATTAATCTTACAAATTTGTTGTTAAATGTTAAAATACTAGGGTGGAATATGAGTTGCTTCGGGAGGCGTTGGCTAAAGATAACAATGAGAAATACAAAGCCCTTAAAGTAAAGTACCCAAAAAAAAAGAAGAAGAAGAAGAAGAGGGCTCCAAAGGACATGACTGGCGATAGAACTCTGGAGTCCTTGTACAACGAGCTTAAAGACGGCGGTATAATAGAGAAAGTTGCTTATAAAGACTTTGATGAATTTATTGCCGACTTTAACTTTGTGGCCGACGACACTCGAAATGAAGATGACTTGACGTGCGTATTTGTTTTTTAAACAACAATAAATTAATATTATTTATAACTTAATATTCCAGTACTGTGGGTCCAGCCAAAGGCGATATCAAAATGGTTATCCAAGAGTGTATGCTAGGAATGGGCGAATTCGACATACCAAAACCGAAGTCTCTCTTATTAATTGGACCCCTGAATTGCGGAAAAAAGTTATTGTGCCAAATAATTGCCTCAGAATTGGGTAAGCTAACCTTTTCCATGTTTTTAATTTATTGTTTTAACTTATAAACAATTATACAGATGCTGTGTTTATGAATCTGAGTCCCGAGAAGACCTACAAGTACGCCGATGACATGAAATATTTTCTTCATGTTATTCTAAAAGTGGCTAAGGCTTTTCAACCTACCATAATGTATTTTGAGGAAGCTCATCGATTATTTTGGAAAAAAATACCCCCAGAGGCCGTTGATATAAAACCAAGGCTTCTCGGATCCTACATATCCAGTAAAATATTAAAGCCCCTAAAGAAAAATGATAAAATTGTATTAATCGGCACAAGCAACATGCCCTGGGCTGCCAAAGGAGCCATAAAAAGAGCATTCCAAAAAGTCTTGCTTATACCAAAGTGCGATTACGGCACTAGCTTCTTACTTTGGCTAGAACTGATGACCGAAAATGCCCCAGATGATATGAACGAATATGCGTACTCTGCATTGGCAAGAGTCTTGCAGGCTTATACCTCCGGCGACATCGATGGCAATGTAAAACAGACTTTAAATATTGACCGTAAAATGCGACTTAAGAATGAGGCATTGGATCCCCATGAGTTCTTAGAATATTTCCTGAGCAAGAATGAACCTCCAATTTTCCCTCCAGAGGATAAGGTATACCTATAACTTAAATATGTTTAAGAATAAACTTATCTTATCTTATTCTTTTTCAGATCATGCAAAAGTTTGACAAGTGGTTCGCAAGATCTAACAAACTGAAAAAAATGAGAAATGCTTATGATGCTCAAAAGTTGGCCAAGGCAAGCAAACGAAAATAATGGGTAAATTTTGTAATATTTAACAAAAATGTAAACTTACCTTGGAAGTACAAAAATTATGATATATCATTTTAAATACATATCTTAAGACACGCCTATATTTATGTATTTTTTATTGAAAATATATAACCAAAGTTTTTCCTATGGAAAATAGTATCTAACGAAATCAAATAATTTTTGTAAAATATAGTTCTTAAATATTTAGCTTGTCATTTAATTGTTTGTTTGTGGTTGTGGTAAAAACTCTTCCAACTCAGAATCTTCAATTTCACACAGTCGAACCGAAATATTACTGTTGGAACCAATTTCTCCAACAGCGCATGGAAATAGGTATGCCTCCTCTGAATTTTCTAATAGGAAAATATATATTGTTATATTTATAAAACATAGCAAAACATTTCTTATGCATACCACTTATCGTCCTTCTGGTTTTCATTTCCTTCCTTGAAATCGGCCCCTCGGTCATAGAGCTTTCCCCATCCGTCTCACTTGGAAAATGCATCGTCGGTAAATACGAATCAGGATGTCTTAAATATACTTTGCCTGTTGATTAAAGAAAACAAAGTTTTGTTAAAGGTGTATAGACTTGTCAGGGTCCCAATAAAAGCAAAAAAAAGTATTTGTATATTGATAAGAGCCTTTTAAATATTACTTATGATGAATCAAGAACTTACACGAATGACTAACTTTCGACGGTAAAGGCACTGATTGCATGAAATCAAGTAGTTATATAGATTAGTATACATAGATGTTATGAAAGGGTTAGTATTCAGATAGAAAGTTATAAAGAGGATTTAAATTTATAAATTATTAATTTCCAAGTTTTATATTTCTAAAAAAAAATCAAGTTAGGACTGTATAACAACCGATTAGAATACATAAACAAAATATATTTAAATTAAATAGTTAATAAATTAAGCTTCCCAGTTTACTTAACATATACAAATATAAGATTAAAAACGATTTACGTTACCTGTATTTGATTTATAGTCTTCATTCTCGATATTATTAAAAGAACTCAGTCTTGAAAGTGGCTGATTACTTGATCTCGGCAACATAAACGGCTCCAAACAGCTCTCCGCTTCCGAATCCAAATACTCCGATCCGATATCCTCATTTAACGCAGCTATATCCCTCGTCGGATCAACACCTCCGTCTTCCCCTATTAATTGTTAAATAAGTTTTAATTAATCAAAAATTGGTATTCATATTTTTATTATTAACTTACTGTGGACGAAAAAGGCTTTCTTCGACTTGGACTCGTTGCTGTCGTTGCTATGTAAGCTCGACGAGTCAGCTATTTCGGCTCCAGGAACTTCGGTTATATCTGGCAAGGGGTTATGGCTTTTGCGAACCCAGTCGGAACAGTCCCAATGATATTGACCATTGGCAAGAGCTGAATAATCAACGAAGTTCGCACTGGAAGAGTGGCACACGTTTGGCATTTCAACTTGAATGAGTTTCCCAGTTGAAAAGCGACTTACAGATGGTCCGAAATCCCTTTTAAGTTCTGAAAATGGAAACAAGATTAGATATTTACTTTTAAAATCTTTAAATTAACATTCTATACTAACCATTGTTTAGTTTGTTCTCACTGAAGGTTCTTAACTGCATTTGCTCACACCATTCTTGTTTATAGGCATTATCAGCATCAGCGGGATGACAGGAGTTTATGTTTACATGCTGCTTATTTCGATTCACCTTCTGGTACTCAAATGGCACATTTTCTAGCTCATCGCCAGCCGAACCGTAGCTTCGCAAGATATCCAAATTATTTACAAAATTCCTATTGCTCATGAAGAGGTTATCATTTGGGGCTGCAGTATAGCTAATGGGCCGTTGATTAACTTCTAAGTTACTCAGTTTCACGTTAGGCTTGCAGTAATTGTCTTTGTCAACCAGCGAATTGAGATTTGCCTCCTTGTACGACGGCTTGTTCTTGTCCTTTTCCAGTCGATTCCTTCGTTTTGATGAGGAATTCCTTCGAATGACCACGCAACAGAGGACTAAACTAATAATTACAAGCACCACGGCTACTCCTGATATTATTCCACTTATGTGCTCCAGGGAAAAGTTCTTTAACTTTGTGGAAATAGAGTTGGAGTATAGGGGATCTCCGCAACTGGCTCCTGTGAGGTACGATGGGCATATGCACCGGAAGCTTCCAGGTTCGTTAATGCAAGTAGCTCCATTACCACACGGCTGGTTTTCGCACTCATCCACATCGATTTCACAAGTAGGCCCCGTATAGCCACGGCACATACAGTGCGATATTCCATCGCCTTCCTCGCAAATGCCACCGTTTTTGCACGGATTCGGAGTGCAGAATTTTCCATATTCACACCTTCTTCCTGACAAGTGAATCGGACATGTGCAGCTGTAGTTGTTGGGACCGTGATAGTCGCATCTTCCTCCAAACAGGCAGGGACCTGATGAGCAGGGATCCAAATCGATTTCACAATGCTTGCCAGTGTAACGGGGCTGACAGGCACATTCAAACACATCCGTATCGAGTTCCTTGCAGATACCACTATTGGCACACGGCTGGGATCCGCAAATACCCAGTCGCACCAAAACATTCGATGGATCGCACTTGAACTCAACATTTGTGAACCTCTTCAAAGCAGCAATGGTACTTCCGCCAGAAATGTACAATGGCAGTGATTCTTTGGCTATTTTGATGTTGGCCATGCAGCCGATGAAACCGCGCTGAATATCCTCATAGCCAATTATCGATGGATGGGGTCGAACTTCTGCGCCCACGAAGATATCATTCGACTGGATATTCAAGATGCCATTCACACCTGGAGCACTGCCATGGGAAACGTGTTTGTTATCCACCATTACTTTGGCACTGTTCAGAGATCGCTCCAGGCTGATTAAATGCCACTCGCCATCGGAGATATTAATGCTCGACACACTGATAACTCCCTCGCCGGAACCCAAATCGAATCTATACTGAACAGCTCCGTTTATGATTTCCAGGATGTTGTAATCCACCTTTCCACTGGCATATAGCAATGTTCCAGTTTGCTGCACAGTTCTTATCTGCAGAGAATAGGAAAATTCGTTTTCCAGCGTAAATTTGGCCTTGATTTTGTTTATCTTATAGTGAGCATAGCTCTTTCCGCCAAAAGAAACCGCAGTGAACAGGCCAATGTCACAGGATTCATTAGTACACTTCGATGACTTTCTCTCGCAATAGGTACCCGAAAATCCCTTGGGGCAAACACATTGGTAACCCAAAACCGATCCAGATGGCATACAGATCCTCTGCGGTGAACAAGGATCCGTGGAACATGCATTAACCGTCTCATTACAGTGCTTACCATCAAATCCTGGCCTGCAGACACATCTATTCACCTGATTGTAAGACGGAGCAGCAAAACTTATTACATCCGTAAAGGTAGTGGTAACGTTGTTCTTCAGGATCCGCAAAACCTGTTTGCATTCCCCGTGAACACAGGCGTTTTTGTTGCTCTGACAAGCGGATGGTAGTATATCCTCCACAACCAAATTGGTTTCATTCTCAATCTCGTTCTTTTTGTCTATTAGTGTTTGTCGAATTTCGTCACTGGTAAAGAATTCATCAGAATCGGGAATTATTTGCTGTTTTCGCACTGCAAAGACCACATTCAAGTTGGAATCAATGGATCTTGCATAACGGTTAGCCACCGAGTGTTTTGGTGCTTCCGTTTGAAGGGTTATGAGGATAACATCCTTCTGACGACAACGCATAATATTACGAATGGAGCGCATGAAGGTTTTCCTGTGACTGAGCAGAAACTCTGATGCTGAAATCCTGCTGAACTGAATGACAACGGATTCTTTGAGCATGTCATTGGTTACCAGTTCCACATTGATCTTGACAATCGAGAAAACATGAAATTTGCCATCCGACACTGACACATTAAGCTTATACAGACCAATATCTAGGTTAGATATAGCATAAATCTTCCCGGTTTTGTTAGAAATATTAAATAATTTAGAACTCTGGAACATATCATCGGGACTAGACACCAAACTGAAGCTCAGCTCGTCGTACTTGTCTTGATCGGAGGCATGGACTTTTCCAATAAAAGCGCCAGAGAAATCATCCTCAAAGGAATTAATAGTAACTTCCAGGGGCGTAACGATGGGTGGATATTGACTTTCCTCAATTATTTTCACAACCACCCAGGCATCGGAATATAATGGCGGTGTTCCATTGTCAAAAACTCTTACTTGTATCACGAACTCATCTTGAAGCTTGTGATTAAACCGCGAGGCAGTGCTCAGCGAACCATCTTGCTCCAGCCGGAAAAGTCCGCCCTCATTTCCCGACCTTATATCGAATGTATATGGTGTGGTGTTGGGTGATTCGTCTGCGTCTGATATCTTGAAAGTTAGGAATATATAGCCCAGAGGTCGGTTTTCCTGAAGGACAACACTATAATTGGCGCTTGAGAAGATTGGTGCATTGTCGTTGGTGTCCAAAATATTAATATTTACTGGCACACTGTTGCAACTCTGGGGATCTCCCTGATCACAGGCTTGAATCTCCAGGTTGTAGTGTGAAATAGTCTCGCGATCTAAAGGCCTTGATACGCTAATGGTTCCATTATTCAGATCTATAGAGAACTGGCCTATGTTATCACCCCTTTCAATGTTGTAAGTAACGAGTCCATTTATATCTGAGTCTTCATCCGTGGCCTTCACATCCAGAATCTTGGATCCCACGAAAATGTCTTCATTAACATTAACACGATACAAGTTTTGCAGGAATTTGGGGCTGTTGTCATTAATATCCAAAATAGATACGTTCACATAGGCATTGTTGATGAGTGGTGGAGTGCCTCCATCGATAGCTTGTATGGTCAAGAAGTAAAACTTGGACATTTCATAATCCAGAGTAGCATTCAACACCAAGTCGCCTGTCATAGAATCCATTTTAAATTTTCCTTGCTCGTTGCCACTCATTATAAAATAGTGAATATCGGCATTTACCCCAATATCTATAGAAGCGGCATAAACTTTGCAGACTTCAGTGCCATGGGTGGCATTTTCTAGAATCTTACAGGAATACTGTCTCATACTGAATTCCGGTGGATTGTCGTTGATATCCAATATGTTTACAGCTACTGTTGCAATGGAATGTAATTTTGGAATGCCGCAATCCTCAGCTTTGACAGTGAGGTTGAACAAAGGAATAGTTTCACGATCGAGATTTTTGTCCAGCTTGATAATACCAGTCGTTTTTGATATTTGGAAATACTCATGGTTTTCGCCCATTAAGGAATACTTGATTTGTCTATTGACGCCAAAGTCCTTATCCATCGCGTGAACTTTCGTGATCAAAGTATTCAATTGAGCATCCTCGGGTACGCTAACTCTATATTGAGCCATTGAGAAAACAGGAGTATTGTCATTTATGTCATTCACTGTGATGATTATTTCAGAGAAACATTCTTGCGTAAAGTCTTTGCCATCCTGAACATGGGCTACCAGTTTGTATTTAGGCGTTGTTTCCCTATCCAGTGTGTTTGCCACTTTTAAAATTCCACTTTCCTTACCAATAGCAAAGTCGTCGGCACCTTTGCCAGACAGATAGAAACGAAGTTTGCTTTGCAAATCGAAGTCAACGGCCTTGACCTCGACAAGTGTAGTACCGATGGGGATTGATTCATTAGTGGAGATATGATAGCGAGGTTTTAGGCAGTAAGGTGTATTGTCGTTAATGTCTTTAACATCTATTTCAACATTAGCTTTGGCAGTGAATTTTCCATCAGTTGCAATTATGCTTAGGTTGTAGAACATGATTTGTTCACGATCTAATGGTTTGGCAATGAATAGCTCTCCGCTTTTACCGATCTGGAACTGGGCTTGTTTATCGCCAGAAACAATGAAGAAATCCATTTCCTGTTTCTCGATATCCGGATCAATAAGAAGCAGGTTGATTAAAACTGTGCCAGGCAGTGCATTCTCGAAAACAGAAAGTCTTTCGATAGGTAATTTAAATGCTGGTGCGTTATCATTATAGTCTACAATTTTTATAGTTACAGGTACTTTAGCATCATGTTTCGGATGACCATTGTCGGCAGCAATGACTTTGAAATTATATTCAGATTGAACTTCTCTATCCAAGGAGGTTAGTAACGTGATCCAGCCAGAGTAAATGTCAATGTCAAAGATATTTTGAATGTTCTCGGTGTCACTTTCTAGGTAGTATCGAATGTCTCCATTTGGCCCAGTGTCCGCATCCGTCGCTGACACTTTAACCAACGATATAACCTTTTCGCTGTTTTCCGCAACATTGGCACTGTAGAAAGTGTTGTCAAATTTGGGGTAATTATCATTTTCATCCCTGACATCAATTAAGACATCAACATAGGCGTAAAGAACCGGGACCGTTGATGTCTCCGCCACCACAATCAAATTGTGCGACTCTTGCTGCTCCCTATCTAATGTCTGCTGAAGGATCAGTTCCCCACTGTCAGATATCATGAAATTGTCCTGAGCTGCTGCTATTGAAAATTTAAACGTAAAGTTTCCTATCGTGTGTAGTTTTGTGAGCACTGTTCCTGGTGGCGTTGACTCTATGATCTTAAGTAAAATTGAGGACTTGTTGAAAGTAGGAATGCTAGCATCAGTCTCAATTATTTCAACTGACACTGGAACTTCCGAATGGAATTGAGGTTCGCCGTGATCAGAAGCACGTACGAAAAATTGAAAGGACCCCACACCATAGGTTCCGGCATCTCGCTTAAGGACAATATCCCCAGTGATTTCATTGATTTCAATTACATCCTTTGATGACTCGTCAACAGACTTTTGAACAATTTGGTAGGAAATTAATCCGTTATCGCTAATATCGTCATCCTTGGCTTTTACCTAAAGAAATAATCATATTATAATGTTATTATAAATCGATTAATGTATCCTTACCGTTAAGATAGTTCTGTTCGCTTCCGTTGTTGTGCTGACAACAATCTTGTATTCCTTTAGCAGGAAGTAAGGAACGTTATCATTTACATCAGCTATTATGACCTTGAGGGACGCAAATCCGAATTTACCGCCACCATCGGACACCTTTAGGAGCACCACATACTCATCCTTTTTTTCGCGGTCGAAGGTTACCTTAGATGTTATAACACCAGTCGATCGGTCGATAAGAAAGTATTTTTTCATTTCTTCCGAAACTATTTCGTAATAGAGACTTGAATAGGTGCCAAAATCTCCATCCGTTGCTTTGACCTAAAATAAGAAACTCCTCTTAAACAAGTCCACTATCTGAGCAAATAACTTACTGTAATAATATTATGACCATGTAATAAATTTTCAGGAATTTTCGCCTCATAAGAGCTCTTTTCAAATTGTGGGCTATATACGTTTTCTGGTAGTAAGGATATTTTCAAACGGGCATATGCTGTATGAACGCCATCCGAAACAGAAATATTCAAGACTGTGCTACTTTTATCGGTAAAATTTAACATATTTTGAAGGGAGATCACTCCGGTTAGTTTATCAATATTATATGTTTGCAATTCATTCCCGTAAACAATTTTGTACTCCAGATTATCAGTGTCAGAAATATCTTTATCGTACGCCTTGGGTAAAGCCACAAATTGTCCACGAACAGCTGCGACTGAAAGTTTTGTGAAGTAAGAAGGTTCCACAAAACATGGAGCGTTGTCGTTTAAATCTTTAACTAAAATAAAATATTTTTAATTAAAATATTAGTTAAAATGTTATATTTTACTATTTATTACCTGTTATGAACACATTTGAACGAGAACTTAATGACGGCGATCCATGATCTTTTACGTTGACGACAATATGATGGTTTTTCATCTGCTCATAATCCAAGGGAGTCTTTAAATAAAGATTTCCATCTGTGACATCAATGTAAAACAGCTCTGAATTGTTTTGTCCATTTATGGATTCAATATAATACGAAAGTTTTGCATTCGCTCCGGAGTCTTTGTCAGTTGCATTAATCTTTAAAATTTGTGTTCCAAATGAAGAATTTTCCGGAATGGTTATGTTGTAAATATCACTTTCAATTTCTGGATAACAGTCATTGACATCGATAATGGAAACAGATAGAACGACTTCGGCATAAACTCCAGAAAGACTATCAGTCGCTCGGATTGAAACATCATGGGAATTCATTTGCTCATAATCCAGTTCATTTACAACAAAAATTGATCCTGGAAGAAGAACTTAAATATAGTAATTTCGATGATTTATTTAATTTTAATATAATATACCTGTATTGTAATCAATTTCAAACGACTGACTATCCGAAGATATTGTGTAAATTAAACTCCTTCCCAAGGGACTTTCAGCTTCAATGGATACGGAAAGGGCCGAGTACATTTCCACGTCTTCCTTGACGCTGACGGAGTAAAACTGCTTTTCAAAAACGGGCATCGAGCGATCAATTACCTAAAAAGTAATAAAGCTTTCGTTATTGAAGTTATTGTATTTATTTTTCTAGGATAAACTCACTTTAACTTGAAGAGGAGCTTCAGAGGAGCAAGGTGTAATGGCACCATCATAAGCAGCAACAGTTAGCTCATAATTCCGGTTATGTCCTTCCACATGCTGCTTAATGGATAATTCTCCAGTTTTGCGATCCAACTTGAACAGCTCACCATTTCCCTTCTTTAATTCATATCGAACCTCACCATTCTCAGCACTATCCAAATCAACAGCCTTAACTTGCATTATAATCGTGCCTTTCGGATCGTCTATCGAAACCGTGGCATAATATGGCATATTGACAAACAAAGGGCAGTTATCGTTCACATCCAATACAGATATATATACAGAGGTAACAGCCCTACGCACATTCGAATTCATGCCTTCAAATAACACTGACTTGGCTTCCACAAAGAGTCTGTATAAATCTTTTACTTCGCGGTCGAAAATAACTCCAGTAGTTTTTAGCGCTCCTGAACTGATTCCGATGTCAAATAATTGGGTGGGATTCAAGATACGGTACTCAACATTTTCGTTCAGCGAGTTTCCAACCACATTAACCATTCCAATCGTAGCCACCTTTGTGTTATTTTCAAAAGCCGAAAATCTATATGATTCTCGTTGGAAGGCAAAGTTCGAATCGATGGCTGATAAAACCTTAATCTTTACTATTAAAATTGCAGAGAATATTCCATCGGAAGCACGGACGTGCAAAGTATAGTCCTGGTCGTTATCATTATTTAATATTTCGAAATTTCTGAAAAACATTGCAATAATAAGATTGATTATTTCATAGAACAAACTCAACGCTAAACTTACCTTGTTGTTATAATGCCGGTGTACTTTTCAATTTGGAAACATTCATTGGTGTTTCCATCCACAATATCAAACCTTAACGTATCGTTATCAGCATCCTTGGCATTAATTTGTGCAACAAACACGTTTTCAAAAGTTGGAAGGAATAATGTTACATTGAGTTCTCTCTCATTAAATACTGGAGGACAATCGTTAACATTAATCACACGAATGGTAACGTGTGCAGTTGTAGTGGAATGTAGTTTTGGTTTTCCCATATCACTAACCTGGAATATATTTTTTTCAGTTATAAAGAATAAAGCCAATTAGGTTAATATGTTCTATACCGTAACATCAAAAGTATAGCCAGCATTCGTTTCATAGTCCAAATGCCGTAACAGTTCAATAGCGCCAGTGGTCGAATCTATTTTGAAAACGTTCTTGGCCATATCGTCGTTTATGTGGTACTCAACCATTCCATTGACTCCGACATCAGCATCCTTAACTTGTAATGTTAAATGGCTGAAGTGTAAAAAATAATATTAATGTTTAAGTTTTCAAGTGAAAGTATAAATACATACTCTTTTGATGAATCATGTACTTTTAGTACATAAGATCCAATTGCGGCCGATTCAGATAATGCTCCAACATATTCATTTTGAACGAAATACGGAATATTATCGTTAGCATCTAGGATATGTATGATTACATTTTGGCAGGACGACTCTGCTGCCATATTGGTTCCTTTAACCGTGAGATTGAATACTCTAGAGAAGGAAAATAGAGAAAACTTTGAGAAACTCCATTTTAGTAGATAAACTTATATTACTTACTTGATCATTTCGTAGTCAATATTTCCATTGATAACAATAACACCGGTGGAGGGGTTTATGCGGAAGCTTTCGTTTATGTTGCCGGAAATAATATTGAAAAATATAGATGATGAAGACCGAGCGCTGACTTGAGTAACAAAAGTTCCAACACCCAAGTTTTCGAATATTTCGATGGCAATGTTGTTGGTTGAGAACTTAGGGGGGTCGTTCTCAGACATGGTAACAATGATGTGAACAGGAATCTGCGATGACAGCGGAGGATTGCCTTGGTCTACTGCCTTGACTTGAAGCATATACTCTTGGATCTTGTTGATATTCAAGCTGCCAGCCAATGTGATTATACCAAAAGTCGGGTCAATCTCAAAAACACTACCCACGTTACCCGTAATGATCGAGTACTGAATTTCAGCATTGTGACCACTATCTCGATCTATGGCCCGCACTTCGGCCAACTTAGAGCCAATAGCTGCACTTTCGGGTACTTTACTTTGAATAATTTTCGCTGTGAACTCCGGATGATGATCATTGTGGTCATGCACATTAACAATGATCTTTGCATAGTTTCTTTTTCCGGGTGCTCCTTGATCTTTGACAAAAACGATGAGTATGTGCTGAGCTGTCTTTTCAAAATCCAATCTCTGAGTTACAATAACATTTCCGCTAATGGAGTCGATTCTGAACAAAGCAAGGGATGACGGATCCTGAGTGGCATGGAGATGATAGAATAGCTTCTTGTCTTCATCTCTGTCGGTGGCATGAAGTTGCATTATGACTGACTCTTCTTCAATATTTTCTGATATATTGACACGATAGACATCTTTAGCAAATTGAGGAGGATTGTCATTAATATCTATCACTTGAACCAAGAGATGGGTATACGATGTTAAAGTGCCATCAGTAACGCTTATGGTCAAATTATAAGATTTTTGAGTTTCGTAGTCCAAATATTTTGATAGCAAAATGTTTCCGTTATCTTGGCCAATGTAAAATGTGTTTTCTTCATTGCCATCTATTGAAGTGCAAAGAAAAATTTTATTAAATATTGAAATTATTGAATATTTATTAAACTTACTGGAAATATTGTACCAAAGCTGGTCGTTGTCATCATCGACAGCCAGAACTTGAGTAACCAAAAATCCTGGTTTGTCGTTTTCCGTGAGATCAACAACATTATCTGACGTCTTTTTCACTATCAGCGGTGCATTTTGGGAGTTAGGATTAACAGGAACTACAACTATATTAACTCTAGCAGTTTGACTTTTCTTAGGAATGCCGTTGTCTTCAGCCTTGATGTGGATTTCAAACTCATTATCGGATTCCAATGGCTTTGCTATATAAATGTGGCCCCTTTGACTGTCAATTCGAAATTTGTTTTTACCCTTTCCGGACTTAATCGAATAGGTTATTCGTCCATTTTCACCACTATCACTATCAATAGCATGAACCTGTTAAATGGTATATTAGTTACCTTTCTTGGTCGTACCTTAGATTTGTTAGCCTTGAACTTACCTGAAAAATAGATTGATTGACAGCGGCTGAAGACGGAACTTGCACCTTGTAAACGCGTTGGTCAAACTCTGGGCCATTATCGTTAATGTCTAGAACCGACACAACAATTCGCGAGGTTGACGATAGCACTGGAGTTCCATTATCTGATATAGCAACCTGGAAAAATAAAGCTTAAGTTAGTTTCAAAATTTTTAAAAATTATTTAATATTATATTACCTCCAAAATATGTTCTGCTTGATTTTCTCTATCCAGCTTACGTTCAGTCGTTTTAATCACTCCTAAGGTTACACAAAATAATATATTAATTAAGTTTCAATCTAATTTTTTAAGTTTATTACCTGTTTTGGAGTCAATTTGAAAATAGCCGACCAGATTTCCAGAAACTATGTTATACGTTATAGACTGTGTGGGATCGATATCTGGATCTACTGCATTCAAGGTGATGATCTCGACGTCTTCCGCACTCGCTTCTGTAACGTTTACATAATACACTGGTTTGTCCGTCAGAGGAATGTTATCGTTTTCGTTTTCGACTTTGATGTAAACCTAATAATGAAGTCAATGTATTAATTAGTTGAGGGAAATATAAAAATGTTTACTTACTTCCACACAATTACTCAGAGGAACTATGGCACAATCCTGTGCACAGAGAGTGAGCCAGTAAAAGTTTTTTGTCTCCGCATCGAGTTGTGACAGTGAAGTTATTGAACCTGCAAAATATATTGACATTAATCCGATAAAAATCTCATCAGAAATTGCCAGTACAAACCTTGGTCATTGACCGCAAATATTCCCAGCCCATCGCCACCTGTGATGGAATACGTGATTTTCGAGTTCAAATCAACTGTATCCAAATCCCGCGCAGTGACATTCATCACAAACGTCCCCTTGGGCTTGTTCTCCTCTATTTTTCCCTCATATACAAAGTCATCAAACTCGGGAGCAAATCGGTTCTCGTTCACATCAATAATCATTATAACTATGGACATATCCGATGTTAGAGAGGGATCTCCGCCATCAATGGCACTGACAATTAGGTTATGCACTTGTTTGTTCTCATAGTCCAAAAATCCTTGAGTTCGAATTGCACCTGTGTGTTTGTCGATCTTGAAAAGTTCCTCCTCCTGGTTCTCCTCTTTCAGGGAGAAGAGAATCTCGGCGTTTGGACCAATATCGTCGTCCACCGCTTCGATTACAGCCAACACTGTTCCACGAGGCAGATCTTCGCGCACTTTAAATATGTATTCTTGGACTCCGAAAACCGGGGCGTTGTCATTGACATCATCGACCAAGACGTAAACTAGAGCCTCCGAGGATAACATGGGATTTCCACCATCCTTTGCCGTAATGTGAATGGCATAATTATCCTGTTTCTCGCGATCAAGTGGTTTACTCAGACGAATACAGCCCGTGGTCTCATTGACTGTAAAGTCACTGCACTCAACTGATAGGGCATAAGTCACCTGGGCATTGATTCCTGAATCCGCGTCCGTGGCATGAACGCAGTGCACCACAGTTCCTATCCTGGCGCTTTCTGTCAATCGAAACGTGGCCAATGTCTTCTGTATAACAGGTCGATTATCGTTGACATCGAGGATAGTAATTGGCAACATTTTCGATGTTGATTTGGTTGGGGTACCCAGGTCGTAGACGGTGATATTTAGAACATATTCATTTTGACGTTCTCTATCCAAGTAACCAATTATCTGCAGTTCACCTCGATCGGGATCAATTCGAAAAACTGAATCGTAGTCCCCATCTGAAATCGCAAATACCAACTTTCCATTGTAGCCTAAGTCCCGGTCTTTGGCCTCGATCCAAGCAACTGTTTCGCCCAGTTGGACACTTTCATTGATGGCAAGTTCTTGAGGGAAGTTTATAAATTCAGGTCTGTGCACATTTTGCCCATATCGACTGGGTGTCAGGGATAAGTCACTGAAAACGGATGGAATGACACTTTTTACGTTGTTCTTTTCGGCCAATGTTAACGTTTCCGCCAATCTCCTGGCGACTCCGGTTTCACGACACTCAAAGGATCCATAACCGTGCAGAAGGCTGGCATCTCCACCCAAATCCTCAGGCATTAGATGCACATTGATGATCAAATCGTCAGAGAAATGAGTACCATCCGTGGCAGAAACTTTGAGAATACGATTTGTTAAGGAGGTCTTCTTCAGATCACAAGAAATAGACAGAGAACCGGTTGTGGGATCCAAGTTAAAGCAGCCATCCTCGTTGCCCTCGCTCAATCGGTATGAAATTATATCGCCAGCATCAAAATCAATGGCTGAGGTAATGAAAACTTCAGTACCCATCGGTGCGGACTTGGTGACCTTACCATAACAGTTTACCCGTTCAAACTGGGGTCTGTTATCGTTAATATCCTTGACCACAATCGAGAGTTTAACTTCTGTCTGCCTTCGGTAAGGAAGTCCCCAATCTGATGCCCGAATTATTAATTCATAATTCCGCTTCATTGTCTCATAATCAATAAGAGATGTAGTCTTAACTATACCGCTGAAGTGGTCGATTTCAAAGGGAACAGTATTCAGATTGGCAATACTATAAGATATGTACGAGTTTTCTCCAGAGTCCCTGTCTTTGGCTGTGAGTTTAACAACAAACGAGCCAGCCAAATTGTTTTCATTAATGCTGATGATCTTATTTACATTCTCAAAAATGGGATCATTGTCATTCATATCCTGTACACTTATTTTCACCTTGGCTGATGATTGTTTTCGAGATCCAACGTTTGCCTGATCAATGGCCGAGACGGTTAAGGTATAACTTGATTTCTTTTCGGCATCAAGCTGCTTGGCTGTGTACAACATTCCGGAATCAGGATTAATACGAAACTCATCGCCCTCGTTTCCACCCACAATTTCCAAATAGACCAATGCATTTTTACCCAAATCTGGATCACTCACTTTCAGCCTTATCACTGGCATATTAATGGGCGCCGTTTCTGGAATGGAGACTTCATATATCTCTTGCGTGAATATGGGTATATTCTTGCTCTCTGGCTTTATTTGTATCGCTACGGACTTATAGGAGAATCTACGGGGAGTCCCGAGATCTTCGGCGCGTAAAGTTAGATTATAAATAAAATGTTGTTGGCTTAAATGCGCGAACTCATTTAATTCGATATAGTATTCGTCTTTAGTCTCTGCTGCTTTCAAAAGAAACGTGCCATCCGGATTTCCATCGACGATTTCCAACTGTCCAATATTACCATTAATCCCAGTATCTTTGTCATTAACTCGGACAATTCCGTAAATCAAAGGATTTGAAGTTGGCGTTACACTCGAAAAGGTTTTTGTGAAAATTTCTGGAGCATAAAAGTTAACCTGTTTCACCGAAATGCTGACTTTGGCTTTGCTCGCCTGATGGTTCTGATGGTTTACCCAGGATCCCCGATCATAGGCCAATACCGTGAGCTCAAAGTGTGAGTTCTCTGCATACTGAAGCTGCTGCAGTAGGGTAATTTCACCTGTGGTTGGGTGAATAGCAAAATATTCACTATCTATCAGAAGACTATAGTAGATTTCTCCATTGATGCCTAGATCAGCATCATCAGCGGTAACCTTTAGAATACTTTGATATTTTGGAGTATCCTCTGGAATAACTACATTATACTGGGTTGGATAAAATAATGGACTTAAGTCGTTTCGATCCAATACTTTAATGTGAATATTCGCCTCCGTTTCATAGCTTGATATATTTCGGTCGTGCAAATGTACATGTGCTTTTACTCTTATTACGTATTCCTCAGTTTTCTCTCTGTTTAGCACAACGTTATTTGTTCGAGTTCGAATAGCTAAGAAGGCAAAGTCTCCGACCAGTTTTTCCTCAGCTTTAAATAGCTTCTCCTTATCGCCACTTATTATCCTATACTTAACCTCTGAGTTCAAGCCAACTCTCATGCCGGCCAGTCTTTCATGCAATACTCCCTTAGCGTAAGTCTTTCCCAGACTGTTTTCTGGTATCGTAACATTATATACATTATGGCTAAACCTATATAGATTCTCCAATTGGTTCTCTAGTCTATATTCGAGGGTCGATGTGTGTCTTTCATCGGATTTGCTTTGTACAGTTGGGATTAACCATAGACTACACAGCAGTGAAATCCATTGGAATATGTTGAAAGCTTTTCTTTTTACAGGAGTTACATATTTTTTAATCTTCATAGTAAACATATACTGCTCTTATTTCACATAATATCCTGTAAATAAAAAGAAATAAAATAAAATAAATATTTTATTGTCTTACAATATAAAAATCAAAGCAAAAAAATCGTTCAAAACTAATGAAACCCCAAAAAACAATCTAGAACTAATAGAATAAAATAGAATGCAAAGAACTGCTAAAACTTGGAATTGGTAATAATTTATTTCTTTTTATTAACCGTTCTAAACTGCTCCAAAATTATTATATCTAACAACAATAGTATCCTATTATACTCGTATAAGCAGTATCTCATTTAATTTCGGCGAAGAGAAAATTCACAGAGGAGTCTCTTTTTATTAAGCTGACAATAGCTTTTCATAATCACTGGGTCACAGACACTTTTGTCCAAAATTATATTAGCATTTTCTAATGCACATGAATTTAATCTAATCTAATATGAATAAACATTGTATAATCCATTAAAAAAGAATAATCTGATAATAATATAATTTTATTTTAAGTTTCGTCTAATGAAAATCTGCAAATCTCTATATCGTAAATTAAATATATTTTTGTCAAATGTTTGTGTCTTTGTGTTTTTATAAAAAAGTTAAATGAATTACAAAATTAAAGTAATAATAAATTCTCCATATTTTGGCTTATTTAAATTTTACAATTATTTTCCATCAAAAAACTATAAACCCCGAAACTAATTTGACCTAGATTTTACATTAAAGGGCCACAGACACCTTATCAACCAATGTTTTGTTCCATTTAGTAAGAGGCTTTAATTTTCAGCTTGCTTCCAATTTATGCTTAATTTAGCAGTTAAACGTTGTTTTAATTACATCAGTTTGTAAATTATATGCATTTTTTGTATTATTAATTTTATACATTTTTTCCTATACTTTATTGCTCCGTACAAAAAAATTTATAATATACTTAAAAATTGTCCGACAAAAAAAAATAAAATTTTACAAAAATATTTCTGGTGTCTAGTGTCTTTGAGATAACCTGACAAATTCAACTTATTTTTAACATCGGCACATCACATTTTTGATTATTTTTTAATATTTAACTATGTAATTTATTTAACAGTATAATTAGAGTGTTAATGCAAGATTTTCAAAATGTAAACGTTCATTATAAAGAGAATTTCACTATAACTTGATATTTAACCACTTAGGCTTATAACAATGCCTTTTTCCTAACACCTTCAACAGATAAGAAAAACTAATAAACCAAAAGTGTGAAAAGTAGGGCTTCATTTCCCTTTAGAAGATCTAAGGGACACATTGTTTGAGCATTTTCTTCAACTCTCTTTTTTAAAGATGATTTATTATTGTTAAAATGATTTTATATATATAATTTTAAATTGATTGGGTTTAGGAAGATTCATCAAGCATAATATTTGTCACTATAATCACTCTATTGAAGAACCACTTGTTGGCAGAAGAAATTTCGAAACGATTCATGAAAATGTGAAGGTTGCGAAATTGGTGCGGCGCGTAGGTAATTATGAGTAATAAAGCCCATAATATATATACATATGAGTATGTATATAAGCAAATAAGAAGTTGAAACGGGCTGACATGCTTAGAATATATGAATCAGTTAGGGATTTGAGTTAAAGAAGGAAATTTTCACATTTAATATTGAATCACAGATGTCGCAATATTAGAAAACCCTTTTTAACTTGTCTGGTTTCTCACTCCGAAAAAATCAGTTCACAAAGTCACAATTACGACCACTAACTCCAGTTTTCATATGGGAGTGCAGCATTTACATAGGTATGTAAGCCATACATATGTACATCGGTGTACACAGATAACATGTGTCTCTTTTTCCGTGGGCCTAATTTTCCGATAAGGTAAGTAAACACACACTATTAACCGTCGTGATAAACTTCGTGTAGGCAACCAGCTCATAAAATATATAGAAATGCACAATCCACAGTTAAATCTCTTTGAAAATGTTTGACCAACATACAAGCGAGCGTAGGTAGGCACATAGATATGTGTGTGTATACCTTTATATTTCAAAGTTGATCTAAACAACTTTGCTGGAACTCGCTAATACTCGATGGTTTTCGTTGGTTGTTCGTTAATTCAGGTGCGATCACTTTCATCGGCTTTAAATTTCATTCATCACCGATTTCTGGAGCACTTTTCGCGCATTACACATTAATTGCCAGCTGCATGTATGCACCATTAACTACGATCCTCGATAACTCCGCCCGCAATAGCTCTCTCTCTCCACGAAAATGCCATCATCGATTACAACAACTGTTTTGTTTTGAGAAATCGAATATCATTGGACTATCGAATTTAATGAAAATCGATTATTTAGGAATCGATCAAGAAAATAGGCGGGAACCATAAACAAATTCAAATCTGATATAATCTTTTTTTTTAAGGAAAATTTTAAAGAAACCTAGGTATTAAACTTTATATATTAGAACGGATAGCATTTTTTGGCCTTCATTTTCTACATATTATTCTGTGACACAAACAATTTGTTTATTTAATTTCCTTTTAAAAACTCTGTTTCTTTTTTCTCTTAATGGGAATTGATGTATTCAAATCAAAAAAATACTCTTTGACTATTCGCAAATTTGGCCAAAAGCCAAGACACAAAATATTTAAACATTTTTTAAGTTAATAAATAGCCAGTAGAGAAGTAATAAAATTAATAAAAAATTGTCTGTCCATAAATTAGATTCTTGCAAAAATTTTAAAATTAACAGTAAAGCAATTGTATATCATTTAAATTAAAAATGTTCTCATAATTTATGAAGTGGCGTTGATTCATTTAAATAATTATATTTAGCCTAGTGAAATATGTTTTAGTTTAAAATGCATCGTTTCAAAAAAAGTTCGTAAAAATAGTTTTGAATTTCAAACCCGTCCCGAAGTTGGCTAGGTAAAAAGCTTGTCTTCTTTATGAAATATTTTTCATTGTATAAAGCATATACATATATTAAATAAGTTAGATCCTGAAGGGAACCCGAAACAAAATTCATTCCCCATAATCCGCATTGCAATGGCTTCGCAATTTAAGAAATGTAACCCACTCAGTTGGGGGAAGTTTCCTTCGAAAAGGTGTTTTTGGTAGCTTATTCCACTGATATTTGTTATGATATATTCCGTTTGAAATCTGCTTCACCACATGGGGTTATGCAACCTTTAATCACTGTTACACTTGTTTATAAAACAATATTAATATGTTAAGCCTTCGACATGAACGTATTTTTTACGCATACGTACATATTTTTGCATTTTATAGACGAACATCACTAGCACTGGGAATGCGTATTGGCGTGGAAATATTTATTGAATCGCATTTCGTCGCTTATACTCGCAGTCGTATTAAAAGGGCACCGCGACTTTCGATTGAAACATACTTTTCCCTCATTCAATTTCAGACTACCGACGAACGAATTACACCGAGTCCTTAACCAATATAAACCGCAGTCAATGAGAACAGAAATTCAACTGATTGGACTTTCTGTCACTGCGACTAGCAGGTCCTTAGATGTTGGATGATATTTGAAAGCAACATCAAACTGAAACATTGAGCAAACACATGACCTGGAAGGTTTGAAACAACCACTATTTCCCCTGAAAATTACAGTCACACCCTTATGTTATTATGTCCTTTTACTTTTCTATCAAATATCCCAGTTTTTTAGCATAGGTCAGTTCTGTATCTCAGAATGCGGACAAAGAAGGAATATGTTATTTAAAATATGTTACAGTTGCATATATCCTGAATTTCCCCAGATGTACAAAACATTTCCCTTGCTTAATGTTTCCTTTTTATTTAACAGAGGAAATTTCTTCACTATTCACCGTGCAAGCTTTGCCGTATAGCTATTATGTTTATATTTTTTATAAAAAAAAGTTCTCATGGCCCTTTTTTTGTGAGGACTTAAGAATTTTGCAAAGATTTTAAATAATATATGTAAAATATATAATTTCCAAAGAAGTTATAAATTAGACTTGCCCAACTCATGAAAAGGAAATCATACCATAAAAAGTATTTTTACGATATATCCTAAATTCCTATTTTAGGTGTCGTAGAGCTCAGCTAATTGTCATTAGGTGGCGACATCCGGCGAGATTTCTTACCAACTTTTCCGTGAGGGATATTATGAACTCGAGGTAAAAACCTAGTTTTCTGAAATGCTATAAAATACTTGGAAATGTAAGGATCAGAGAACGGCAAGGGTACACCCAGACAATGAGTGCACCAGAGAACGGCAAGGGTACACCCAGACAATGAGTGCACTCGAATCATGTGTGCCTTTTCGGCACTCAGAGTGTGATCGGCACCCTAAAATAAGGGTGTGTGCCTTGCACAAGCTCATTTCGAATGTGCACTTGCGCACCCAGTACTCTTTTCAACAGACACCCGACACACTCATAGCAAATGAAGCGAGTGTCTGAGACACCCATGTTTTTGGGAAAAGTGAGTCGGGTGTCTTGAAAATGAGTCGAGTGTCTTGAAATGAGTCGGGTGTTTCGGGTGTCTTCGACTGATCTGAGTGTTTCGGGTGTCTTCAGCTGTATTGCATGAGCAGGTCATTGAGGGTTGACCGAATAATTTTACATGAAAGGAAGGAAGGAAACTATCGCAAGATGGCGCCATCTTCCCTACAAAAGGCTAGCGTGTATAAAATCCTTTTTACGGTCAAAAATTATGGTTGTGAAAAAACCTAAGGGATTTTCAGTGAAACTCGGCTAATGAGGTACGAGACGAATTTAAGCAGCGTCTCCGAATTACGATATTAAATATTCAGGTAATTCAATTTTTATTTATTGCACTTTTAAATATAAAATATTTGACTTTAATTACATTTTTCTTAGAATCGTGAGTATAGAGTATTAGTATGAAACTTAAAAAAAGTTTATAATTTGTATCCTGATTTCTTGCTTATTTTTTATATCCCCTGAGGAAGAGGTTGATCGATTACATTGCCAATCAGTTCATTCAAAAGTTCATCTTTTTCCTTGACTTTCAACGTCTTCAAATTCAGATCCAACTCTAAAAGGGTTGTATGATGCTCTTTCTCCACTATCTGAGCCTTAAGTGATGCCACAAGTTCCTCTTTTTCCATATCGATTTGATCTTTCTCCTTTATCTGAGTCTTGAGGGAATCAATTTGATCTTTTAAATCTTTTTGTTTTTCATTTTTCTGATTTATCTGATTCTTGAGAGAAGCTATAACACTTTTGTTTTCGATATCTTCTTCATTTTTCTTAACTATCAGACTGTTTAGGGAATCTATAAGGCTTTTATTTTTATTTTCATTTATTTTCTTCTTACTTAACTGAGCTTTGAGAGAAGCTACGAGATCTTTATTTTCTTCCATTTTTTCAGTTTTCTGTTTTAGCTGATTCTTCAGATTAGCTATAAGTTCATTATTTTCCCTCTCTGTTTCAATTTTCTTTTTGATTTCTTCCTTTAAAGCAGCAATGCCATTGTTGTTTTGTTTTTCTTTAACACTTTTCTCCTTTATCTGATCCTCCAGAGAATCTTTAAGATCACGATTTTGCTCTTGCACTTTAGCGATCTCGCTTTGATGATAGTTTAATACAAAAACAAGGTATTTTTCTCGCTCCTCTTTAAATTTTAACTGAGTTTCAAGCGTATTTATAAGTGTTTTACTTTCGTTTTCAGCTTGCTTCATAGAACGAATTGTGGATTGTAGTTTTTTCACTATTGCGTTATCATTGACAGATTTTTCGTTTTCCTCCCCATTGGTTAACTTTTCTTGATTCAGTTTGGCCAGCTCCTCCTCCAAATCTCTAATTCTGTTTGCCTGCGAATCAATCTTATCTTTGTAATCCGATTTATTGAGATTGTTGGACACTTTTAGAACTTCGATTACTTCGTTTTTGTCCTTAATTTTCTCATCGAACATTGCAATTCTTTCGTTGGAAATTTCCAAATCCATTTCAGCCTTTCGCAACTTTAATTCAAGTTCGAGCATTCTGGTATCAATTCTATCGTCCAGTCCATTACAGTCAAAACAGCTGGCCTAAGGTGGGATAAACTTAACAAGTAATTTGGTTTGAATAATAATTATTTCGTACCTTCAAAGAGGATCTGTCCTTATCTGACCCAGAATACAGGGTTATGCTTTTGCTTCTTGAATTCATAATGCTAGAGCGTAGACAGACCGCATTGATTGACGGAGAGCAGTTAACTAAATGGTTTACTAAGGCAGGCTTACTGATAGACTACCAGGAAATTAACCTTATCTTAAGGTAACCGAACATTAAATACTCTTTCTGTAAGCACTTTCATTGCAAATTGTAAAAGAGTATTGCAATTTATTGCATTTATCGTATATTTTATACAGATTTTAATACATTTTTATTGATTGGTTATGAATGTATGCATACCCTTTGTTAGAGTAGAAGAAATGTATTATCTTATCAAAAGACAGATTAGATGTTGTACAACCAATAAGGTATTGACTTCAATTCATTCAAAAGAAAATGATTCAGTGTCACATTTCTTTGCTGTTTCTTAAATTTCATTTCCTACCTCTCCTTTCCCCGACTTCTTTCGAATTTAGCTATTTAAATGTAAATTTAAATGAATTAATATAAAAAATTTGGTTTCTTCTTTAATTACGAACGCAACGCCGGGGCATGCTGGAAAATGAATACAAATTGAATCAATTAGACGGAATCCGCCTGGAAATGAAAACCCAGAGATAAAGCCTTGGGAAAACGGGGCCGATTGGCTTTGGCCAAATGCAAATTTATTTATTCTTTCTTCACGTTCTTTTCGGCATTTTGTTTCTTTGTAAAATCAATGGGCGGCGTTTTCCCATTTGGCAAGTGGCAAGGAAAATTGGCAGGGAAAACAGGTTAAGTCGAGAGGACGAGGCTCAACAACAAAGTAGGCAATTAAATTTATTTTACATTCTCCTCTCCCTTCTCCCTCTTCGCTTCTAGGGGCGGCTTAAGGAAATGTTGGAAAATGCGCGTTTTGCCGGACGAAGCCTAGCGGAAGCGATAGGGAAATTTTGCTGCACCACCCACCTACATAGAAGAGCACCGCCCACTTCCCCTTTTCGAATCCTTTTCCTTTGCATAGATAGCGGAAGTGCTTGGCCCTGTTTTTTCGGCCCCTGCCGATTGCATATGAAGCTACTTTTATCGATTGCAGTTGCAGTTCCCACTTTGCTTTTCTCTCTATATTTAGGCCTCGTCCTGCCGGTCTGCTTGGTCCTCCTCCAATGCAATGTCATTGTCCCTGGGCGACTATTAACCCTCTGTGCAGTGAAGACTAAAAAGGGGAGTTCCCCTGAAACGGTCTATACGTAAGGCCAATGAACCATAGGCAAGTGATTCATATACAGGCATTATCATTTGGAATGATTTGATAATTAAGTTAAGATTATTTGGAACTGATAAGGCTATTTGCCAGGAAGTTAAGGTAAGGTAGGTAGATAGTAGCTTATGTTTAATATTTTTATTATTTAACTTAAGACATAGTCCAGTGTGCTAGCCAAGTTACTGTAAGAATAGTTAAGCATTTTTATTGCTTAAAATGTTAAATTTATAAACTATTTATGTCAAAAGATTGCAAAAAACATTCTCCACTATCCCTAACTTAAATAGTAAATCAAATGTAGGCGATTGCAATTTTGGTTCATCCTTCAGAACTTTCTCCAAAGGACAAATGTTTGCCGACTTCTAATGACAACTTAGACTCCCTTGAAGAACATCCAACTGAAACTGAATTTTGCACCACGTTCAGCATTTTGGAAGGGCTTCTTCCGCCACATAAATTCCCTTCGAATGGAGGCCACAGGCTAAGGGTAGGGTTATGGTGGCAAAAAGGACGTTGCAGTCTCCACGGCTCGTTGAGGGGCAGCAAAAACAAGAGTGGAGCCAGGCAGAAGAGCAGCAGCAAACTACTTCTAATAACAACAATCAACGCTCTCGCCTCGACTCTTCGGGTTGTTTGGGTGCTGTGTAATTACATGACAGCAACAGCAGCAGACAGCAGCAGCAACAACAACAACAACAACAGCAGCAGCAACATTACGAATTACGATAATAATTTCCATTTCTAATTTCCTTGCCACGCAAAAGGCCTTTGCACTTGCCGAGGTTGCCAAGCTGCCGGGCTCAACTGCAAGCACCCACCCAACACCTAACACCCATTACCCATTGCACAGCCACCACCCCCAGCAATTCCCAGAACCACCCACAAATTCACCGCCCTCTTTCCGGCTACAACAGGCTAAACAGACGGACAAAACACTTGGATAGAAAATGATGTTATTATGGAATATCTTTTGATTAATTAAGGGAAAGATGAGTTCTATTTAAAGTTTAGATTGTATATTATTATTAATATTTTGTTTATATTTTTTAAGATCTGTTAGGAATGTGAAAATACAAAATTAGGTAAAGGTTTCTTCTTAAGACTTATAAATGCATTTCTTTAGACCTTTAAAGTTTGTTTTCAAAATTGAAAATGGTTACATTTTATTTCAGTGTACACAAAAGGGGCGGTGATTGCCGAAGAGCCAGGGCCAGACGTTGGCATAATTTCGATGCAGAAATCTAACAGAATGCAAATGCAATCATTGACTTTTTAGCTTATAACGAAATAAGCGTCGTGTTTATTGGTTGGCTGAACGAGCACCAGAGACTCGAATCCTTCGCCTCCTTTCCAACCTTCTGGGAAAATGGGTAAATAGGAGAACATTGCCGGAACTATGGGGAGTGCACTTATAAATTCAAAACCTCGTTGGGGCTACTAAGTGGGTGGTAACGACGGGTGGGAAGAAGAATTGCACACAAACTAAGCCTAAGATGGCTGAAATGTTGGCTGAAACAGTTTGGATATTTGGAATTAGAGTTGCTCTTTAAAATATGTAAGAGTTGCTATAAATCATACAACTTATCAGTAAATAAACTTTAAAATATTTTTATTTTTATTTTAAGTTAATAAATTTTTGGAAAATGTGCAGGGAAACTACTTAAATACTCAAAGAGAGGCCACCGCTTATAGCTTTTCCCTGGTATTCGGCTTAAGTCTTTGTATTACCCTTAAAGCCTTCAAGCCAGTAAGATATCTGGCATGAATCTGCTCAGTCACTTTAAGCTATATCTCGCCCACACTTCGCTGGTATCTGCTCGACTTAAATGGGCTGAGCTTGCCACTGCCACATGGCAGTGCCAATCGAGGATATGCGTTGTCGGTTGTCATCGGCCAGGTGGAAGGAAGTTTCATCCTTTTCTTTTTGCCTTCTCCAACCGCAGGAGCCGCAAAGGGAAATTTTCTTTTATGCCGCCACGCCCCAGAATCTCTGAGGATGTGTTGCCTTTGTTTTTGTAATTTGATAATGCATTTGATTAAGGAAATGAAATTTTTATTAAGGCTGTTTGCTCATTCGCGTCGCTGCCATCGCGCCTTTCTTTTATGATTTTCCCTCCCCCCAAACTTTCTGTGTGTGTGTGTGTGTGTGTTTGCCCTTTTTCCGCATTTTCCCTTTTTTGGGGGACGGTAGACGGGCTGTGTTTTGTTTCCCCACTTGTACGAATTTTCCTTAACCCGGCAGTTTTGTTTTCGCATAATTTCCTTGAGTGCGGTTTGGATCCTCGGCATTTTTACGATGCGCCAGGAAAATGGCTGCTACCTGGTCGCTTTTCCTTTCCTTTTATTCACTCCGAAACAGAAATTTGCATTGCAATGGTTAGATATATTATTTAATTTTTCCCACACACTGCCATTGTATTTGCTTTCCTTCTTTCCTGTTTTTGGTTATGACTTTGTTATCCTTTGTTTGGATTCCCGAAGGTGAGTGGGTGGGTGTTTAGTTAATGTGTTGATGGACAGATTGACAGCAAATAAATAATGAATGTCCCCAAGGGTATCGTGAATAATATAAAATCAGGCATTGTAATTGCATTTCCCCACCGCGAATAACAAGCCGCACAAAAATGATTGTCTTCTTGGCGTTCCACATTTGTCCCAGCGGACGCGAAAATTTATCACATTTCTTTTTTTGTTTTTCGCGGCCTGAAACATGTCACGAAATAAGGGGGGTTGGGGGGTGTAGGGAGGAGGCCGCGAAGAGCGCTTTTCAACAGCGAAGAGTGCAATGGAATTCGCATTCAACACCATGGAAAACCCTTCGTGCGCTAACTAAGTGCGCTCATTCAACTCCGAAAAACAAACTTTTGCTATTGTTATTACATTTTTTCCACATTTTGTTTCTCGCGAATAGAATGAAGGGGGTGTGGTGGTGGTTTGGGGTGTTTGGGAAAATCCTCGGCTGGTCATTGACTTTCCAGCAACTTTCCGCTTGACATTTAACGAGCATGTTAAGTGCTAGAATGAAGCCTACTTTTGTGCGTTGTTTACATTATTTTGTTGTTGTTGCCGAAAAGCCACCTACCCACTCCCGCCAGACATTGTCCTCGGACAAGAAAAGTTGTGTTGCCGTCGTTATTCATCCCTTCTTAAAGCGGCTAAAAACTTTCAGCTGTTAGCCGAAAATCTGTTAGATTTAAGCCAGGCCAATGCCTTGGCACATTGCAACATCGGAATGTGGGTCATTGGCTGTAATGTTGTTTTAAAGAGGTGGCCACATTTATTATTAAAATTTAATCAAGGAAAACTGTTTGTTAAGGCAGCCAGATCGAATCGAACAGGTAATGCGAGGTAGCTACTACCCGTAAATAAGGGTCTTTAAAGGGATTAAGGGGGTTTCATGTTGTGATAAGTTAGGGTATGTGAATGTGTCAGGTGATTAATCTAAAAAAAATTAATAAATTTACAAAAAGAAATATTAAACATATGTTAAATATGTTTAAGAATTGATATGAAGCTACTTTTTATGGTTATATTTTATATAGGATGATTATTTTGCGTTTTGTTTACTAATAATAGTTAACATTTATGCATTTTTTCAAGATTTTTTAAATAAATAAAATTGATTAGTGATTTTTATAATATTTTCTACATTATTAAGCTAAAAAGTGCTTTTTGGTTTTGAGAAACTTAATATTCACTGCTTTATTTTTGCCATAAGCGGACTTTAAATTTAGCTGTTAAAAATGTGTAAAAAACACCAACAATATTATTATAAATAACACAAAAACTAAAATTAATATTTAACAAATGTTGAACAGAATTCATGTAGTAAACACAACAAGGACATTCAACCTGCAACCTGTTAGGACAATACAGGTTCCCCCATCTCATCGAACATGTTAGCCCATCCCCAGTCCCCAGGCTAACAGAGAAGCTTCCCCTGCAA